TATATACAGTATTTTTAAATAACCTCTTCTCGTTTGATTCACACCAAGAATACTCGGGGAAATCTTAATCTAAGCAGTTCAAATTAATTCAGTTTGCAACCTTCTATGTAACTGTTGCCAAGGTGATGGATTGGCAAAAAAAAAGCTTATTACCAATACATGTAGCCAGCTTGGCTTGTCATGGAGGAACATAAATAGTAGAGAATGCATTATAAAAAGAAAAAGCTGACCTTAGAGGGTTTATTTAATAAGGCAGAGTAGTGTGCAAATTGCAGTAGCCTATAGCAATCAGCAATAATTTATTTCTCCCTGTACTAAAATCCAATTGTTGCATATGGTCTGCAGTTATGTTGAATATATGGGCTGCAATACATATATAAATGCCAGCTCTTTGGAAAAGCATACCACTTACTATAACAATAGCAGGAGAATATTGTACTCATACAAAGATAGAAAATCTATTTTTTAGAGGCTAAAAAAAAGCACACACTGAAAAGATTTAATAGCTATGGTGAATTTCAAATTCTTAATTTATAATATTTCTGAATATATGTTAATGTCCAATCTAACTAATATAGGCTGCCCATTTTTTCATGAACTAGAGACATTTCTTATTGACATGGATAGTTCATATCCTATGAATTTTTACATTAAATTGTAATAAAGAGAATACCTTCAGTTGACAGGGAATGAGTAGTGCCTTATTTTTTTTTAAATTATTATTATTAGTATGGTATTTTTTAAGCAGACCTTTGCCAAGGAACAGGTTTAAAGAAAATATACGGTACTGCCAGGTATGCAGAAGTATGGGACTCACTTTATGTGACAGAGCTGGGCTAATCACAAAGCACTCACATTTTCACATAGGAAGAGTCCATAACGATAAGTATGTTCCAAGTTGAGGAATGCTTGTACAGGGTGGCTTCTCCCACTCCCCACAGCTGAACAGAGAGCTGGAGGAACAAAGCACAGGCTTACTTTAGGTCAAGTAACCTTGAAATATTACAATTTTGTATACTCCTTTTGAGCCAGACGGTGGATATTTAGGATCCCTTTCACTTGTTTTCCATGGACTCTTTGCCCCTCTGGTGATCCAGAGAAAAGTAAAAAAAAACCATGGCCCACTTTGCTCTGAAAGGAAAAAAAAACTTCCTGATACCTAGAGGTAAATGGATACATCCTTGATCAACATCCTACAATGGGGGTAAGCAACCTTGGCACTCTAGCTGTGGTGCAATTACAAATCCCATCATGCCTCTGCCTTTGGGAGTCATGTCTGTGGATGTCAATGTGGAGTCTTGCAATGCCTCAAGGCACTTGTAATTCCACAACAGCTGGCGTGCCGAGGTTGCCTACCCCATTATTTCTTAGAAATGTTAATAGTCATTAATTTTTTATGCATGTAGAAATGCATCCACCTATTAAGCAACGCACTAAAATGGCTAGAACTAGCTCCTAGGGAATGCATTATTCCATGTTTTCACAGATTTTACAATAAAGTACCCTTGTGATCAGGCACAAAGCATACCCCTGTGTCTTTTGAGATGACCTTTAAAGTAAACAACTTTCCACCAAGTTTACTATATGGATCATTTAAGTATTTATACAAGGTGATTGCATACCTTGTAATCACTTCTTATTAAGGTACAATACATTTGTTTCAGTTAACCTTTATTCATAATGAAAGTCCCCTGTGCCCTTAATTAATTTAGTTGCCCTTCTCTGTGCTCTCTCCAGTTAGGGAATCAGAGAAGTGAGTCATCCACTTCTCTCTTCTGTACAGCTCCATCAAAGGTTTCAATGAAAGACTGCATCACCTGAAAGGATGATAACTTCTATTCTGCTCTTCCTTTTGTTAATGCATTGTACTTTGGGAATCCTTCATCATGTGTTTAATGTTTATTTGAAAAACAAAGATAGTATATGTAGTTAGAAAAATCTGTTTAAAACCTTTTTTATTTGTCAGTAAAGTTGTTAACACGTGACCTTGGAATGCCAGATTTTTGCAGTGTTTTGCAATGAATAATGCCTCCATAAGCCTAAAGATACAAACCCTACTGAATGGGTGACAAAAGCTTGATCTAACAGGTCATGTAGTGTGCAACAGAATTACTAACATAGAAGCAAAATAGAAGAAAAAGGAGAGATACATGGAACTCTCAAATGCTCATTCAGCATCAGAGGTTACTCTTAGAACAACATAATGCTTTATATCTGTTCAACCATTCATTGCAATGCATTCAAGCTAGTAAACATAACAAATTATAAAATTAATTTCACCATTTTATAAGACGAAAAAATTCAAATAATGAATGATTAGAACTTTTTTTCTATTTTAAATACAAATCCATAAACAGAAGCTATATATATTGCATCATGTTTCCTGTTACTTTACTTGAAAAAATAATCTTAGGTTATAGGTTCACTGAACAAAACAAATAGGAAAATTAAATTAAATTGTTTCTACACTTAAGCTATAACTTAAAAATCACATTCTATTGTCTCATGTATTTTATGCAGCTGTTATAGCTGCTTTTTTGTAGTGCATACTTGTACATTTCTGATGATGAAGGAGTTCCTAATGCAAAGCTTTAAATAAAAGGGTTTAAAATTATTCAAAAGTTTGCTAGTTTTTATTACTGCAATTCTACTTAAAAGAGAATAGGTAATGTGCAAATTTCTGTAATCTATATTAACCTGCCAAAATGAACCTCTATATGCCCTAACATTGGTAAATGGAAATCTTTTTTTCAAAAGTTAATGGGGCTTTCCCTGCAATAAATAAAGAAGACCACTCACCTCTCTCCCCTTCCACTGTGGAATGTCACTTGGCATCCTCACGTCTAATGCAAGTGAATGGACCTTGCATAGATGTGATGACATCAGCTAGGCTTAGACCGCTGGAGCCGAGGGGAGAAGAGGCTGCGGAGACTGGTCTAGCAGTCAGGCAGGATCAAGATCAGGGACTGTAAGTATGTTTTCTTTATTTTCACCCCTAGACCAAAAAAAGCCGATAACCTTTGCAGTACAGGGGTAGCCCCACTTGAAGGGGTAAAGTGGCATTAAACTCAGGTGTTAAAACTTAAAAATGCATTCAATTACCTTAACGATTAACAAAATGTAGCTTATTTGTGTATCACTCAGCTGTAGATCCTCAACTCATCTCTGAATTGTGCTGACATTGTCCGAGGGTGGCTACTTTTGTTCCCTATGGTCCCTGTGTGTTTTGTAAAGTAGACACTACTCCAAGCTCGCTCCCATGATGGACTACAATTAAACTAAATGTGAGATTGTTCAGACAGTGTCAGCACCAATTCAGAGATGATTTGAGGATCTACAGCCGAGTGATGCACAAATAAGATTATTTTTTTTCATAGTTAAGGTACCTGAATGCATTTTTAAGATTTAACTCCTGAGTTCAGTGTCATTTTAGGTCTTAAAAATGCATTTAAGTACCCTAACTTTTTTTTTAAAAATGCAGGTTGTGTATCTCTCGGCTGAAGATTCCCAAATAATCTCTGAATTGGTGCTGACACTGCCCTTCCTTCTGGAGGGTGGCTAAGTTTGTTTCCCATGGTCCCTGTGTGTGTTATAAAGTAGCCACTCCTCCAAGCTCCCTCCCGTGATCGACTACAATCTCATATTTAGCTTACTAATTTGTATTGAGATTGTAGTCCATCACAGGAGTAAGCTTGGAGCGGTGGCTACTTTACAACACACACAGGGACCATGGGGAACAAAAGTAGCCACCCACCAGAAGGAAGGACAGTGTCAGCACCAATTCAGAGATGGTTTGAGGATCTACAGCCGAGTGATACACAAATAAGATACACTTTTGTTAATAATTTGGGGGAATTGAATGCATTTTTAAGATTTAACTGCAAAGTTTAGTGTCACTTTAACTTTTGAAAATCCTGGAGTTCATCTTTACGAACCTTTTGCTTGGTTCACCCAAAAGTGATATTTTATTACTATTCCACCTTCCCTTGTAGTTTCCTGCTCACCTCGGGATGCTACCAGCTATGCATGTTGTAATCTGCATAATATAAAATAAATTACAAATCCAGCAGAGGTATTGGGACAGCAACAGAGATCTCCCCGCAGTAGTCCTTGAACAATAAGGAGGAATCATTAGGTTGTTTGACTCTCCAACATCCACCACAAATTGACATATCCATTTTGGTTGGATTGACCATTTAAAGAGATAAAAAATGTACTAATAGATAAACAACTTTTAAACTGGCATTTTAAAAAATAGTCATGTTTTAGATAGTTATATTTAAGGTAAATAAGCTGATTAACTATAGTAGCATTCTTACAGCTTCTAACCCCTTCTGTTTCTGTCATATATTTATTTATTACAATGGAACATATGGGAACCCAACTTCCTCTTCCTTTTCTGTTCCAGTTTAAAATAGAGAGATGGTACAGATATGTGGGATTAAGTAAATAACCATCTGCAGCTAAAGGAAATATTTCAGTGGGAACGTCCCCGTTATTGCCTTTGGCATGTCTCCTACTGCATTGCTAAAATATACTCTACAGGCAAAAGGTCTTGATTGTTATCATATCAAAAGGTAAAAATAAAATAATATAATAACAAATTCATGTACAACAAGTTAATAAAACAACTTAAACCTTCCTAAATGAAAACAATATTGTGTGGATCTTCTTGAAGTGCAGCAAAAGTAATCTAATTTACAAAATATAAAAATGATATCTAAGTAGTTGTAATAAAAATATAAATAATGTTGAGTGCAATCAACACAATTTTTTGTATGAATTCTATGAAAAAGAATAAATTAGTTCAGAGTTTACTGTAGTCAAAATGTGCATTTATATCAATAATCTGTTCACTGGACATAATGTAAGGCAGATGTGCAAGATTTACAAATGTCAGGTGTCTGGCATTCTGGAAAAAAAATTAAATATAGTCTGCTTTCACTAGTTGCACTGGAAAGTACAATATGTAAGAGAATCCCCTGATTTCCCTTTTTTACCTGCAGCTGTTCAGGAATCTTCGCAAGCTTTGATGATGTTATAATCCTGATCTTGTCCTTGCACAGTCCCACTTTGCTCTTCATGCTCCATCATCCAAAGGAATCAACCTAGCTGGCTTTGGCACATTTTAAATCCACAGAACACTGAGTATCAATATATCACACACTGTGCAACTGACTGTTTTATACCTTCTTGTCTATAACCACACTGGTGTAGAGCTCTGACTCCTCCTGTTCTATCTGTCATCCCACAACTCTGACAGCACCACCAGAGGGCTCTTAGGAATATAGCTAGAGAACTGTACATAATTGTTACTGTAACATGTGAGGAAAGTAGCAAGTGATTTCTCTGTGCTTCTGGGCTAGGTATAATACATCACAAACTGCATCTGTTATTGTGCCTTATCATAAAAATCAGAGGAGGCATAATGAACAATATTGCATGTGTCAGAAACAGAAAAAGGGAAGCAGCCTGAAAAAGAAAAGAAAAGAAAAGGCATACAGAACTGCAGTTTATTCAGATGCAATAGAAAGAAAACCAACAAAAAATATCAAAGGACGCAAAATACAACAGCTATGCACACATTGCAAAATATAACAGTGATTCAAACAAAACAATGAATTGTTAAATAGATTTATATCATCTTTGGAACCAGTTGAATGTTCATTCTCCCATCCTATCTGTACACATTTTGTTTTGGATATTTTGATCATATATTTAAACACAGAAATGAACTAAAAAAAGGCTTATATTCCAGTTTTTGCTTACTGTAAATATGATATACTGTAACATACTGATATACTATACTATGGTATACTGATATACTATGCTATAATAAGCATATTACTGCAATCAGTGTCTTACTTACCGTTTGAGGTCATAGAGCAGGCAAAGTAAGTTTTGCACCTAGGTCACTTAGCACTGGGTGCTATCTGACAGGTTTGAAAGTAGCTGCATGGCTTAAAAATAAAGCTCTGGCTGCTGCATGCAATGCCCCTCTGTGGTGCATTTCCCCCCTAACTAAATGCAGTGCAATGCCCGCACTGCAGAGGGTTGGGGATTTGACTGCTTGTGGTGCCACCACTGCAGTGTAATGTTCCACATCCCCCTGCAGTACAGTTTTTCCCCATGGTGTAAAGCCTCCCACCCCCTGCAGTGCAGTTTTCCCCCTCTTCAGTGTAGTGCTCTCAGTCCACAATAGTGCAGTGCAATTCCTGCAGGGTCATCAAGCTGCCTGTACTGTCCCTCATCCCACTTCAGAACATCCTATATTGTGGGGTCCCCCCTAAAATTCCAGACCCTTAATCCAGGCACTGGAGCTCCCCTCGCATTCAGGGAAGGACCCCCATACTGATGGGGACAAGGGCATCTTCCCCACAACCCTGACCTGGTGGTTGTGGGGGTTTGTGGGCAGGGGAGCTCATCTGCATCTGAGTACCCCCTTTTTTAAAAGGGGCAAAAATGCTTTAATTGAACAAAAGACACAAAGCAAATTTTTGACAATTCCTTTATGCTAAAAGAAAAAATATCCAAAGTTAATCAGGATAAACGCCGATGCTGACTAACTGAAATTAAAAAAGCCTGCAGCCCGTCGGACCCGACCACTAGAGACAAACTGCTGCCGCAATATGAGAGATTTAACAGCCCCCGGCAGAATGTAAACAGATGGGCGGAGCAAGTGGTGATGTCACTTGCTTCGCCCATTTGTTTTCATGCCATGACAGATGGCCCCCCCGTCAGCTGACCCCCACAACCACTGGGCCAGGGTTGCAGGGAAGAAGCTCTTGTCCGCATCGGCATGGGGACAAGGTGCATTTCCAGGGGGTCTCCCCCTGGAAAAGCACCCACCCAATGGTGAGGTCATGTGGCCTGGTATGGTGCAGGGAAAGGGGCATTCCCTCCCCCCCCCCCCCCTTTCCTGCAATGCCAGGTCAGTGCTCCAATTAAGGGTTTGGTATGGAATATTAGGGGGGACCACACTTTTTTGGTGATTTTGGGGCTATGGGGGAACAAAGAAATAAAGGGTCTGGCATGACTTTTGAGGGGAGCCCCACTTTTTTTTCTTTTTTTTTACTCGGGGGTCCATCCTAACTTTCCTACCATACCTAAAGTGTCTGGTATGAATCGGGAGGGGTTCCCCACGCCATTTTGTTTTGTTTGTTTACATGTCATTTTACATTCTGTTTACTATCTCTAGTAGTAGCGAACAGAATGACCAAGCCGAATGCTGCTATTCACTCTCTGGTGTTCGGCCCTTATGAGAATAGGGGTGAACAGCAGGGAATGAAAAGCCGAATGTTCGCCTCAGCCAATCCAGATGTTAGATCGGCTGTTATTCCCTTCAGTTTAGTCAAACGTGCTGATGCTGTTCAGCTAAACCGAAGTGATGTGAAGCCGATATACGGCTGAATAGAATAGCCCAACAGGTTTCGGCTCCCTTCACTTAGGGTCGGTTAATTACTCTGGTGCCTTTGGCAGCTTAGTGAATAACCACCTTTATATCCCAATGACAATGATCACGCAGGCAAATAGAGAGAGTGATTCTCCTCACCAGTGACATGGACAGCAATAAAAACATGGCAGGGTTTCTAACTATTCACTGCACTTCAAAAAGGACAAAAAAATAGTTCTAGCTAGACACACTTATTTTTGGTCAGCATCAGACAGATATCTTTTAAAGTTTGCTTTCACTGTTTACTGTTGCCATAAGCACAGTCTTTTAACTTAAATGGGGGTATTAATGAAACATTTGCATTATCCTGCAATTATTAGCCAATTATCTGGCAAAACTCTGTGAATATTAATTCTGTCAGAATGCAGGCTAAAATTACTGTTCATAGAATATTTTCTTTTCAAGCCGAATATAATATTAGGAGAATAATGCATTATGGGCATTAGACAGAGCTGAATTATTAATTTCCTATGCTCCTCAGCTCCATCTACTGTCCGTAATGTGGTATTGTTCTAGTATTACATTTGACTCTGAAAAGAGGACAAAATGGCTATGTGAACTGTTTATAAATACACATTTATGCTGGGGACAGCACTGATATATAATATACTTGGAAACCTGATTGCCTGAGACCTTATTGCCAGCCAAAAGGTCAGACTCCGTACTTAGGCCAAGTATGGACTGCCCTGGCAAGTTAAGTGCTATGGATAATATATGGAAAATGGAGTGGATCCTACTTGTCAGCTTGTCCATGCATGTGATCATCCCAGTACAACCATAGCTTCTGATGATGCAGCTGAGTCACGGTTCCTCTCTGGAGTCCCAAGAGCAGGAGGCTAAGCAGGTGTTCAACCTGCCGCCATGATGGAGGAAGCATCTGAACATGAAGAGACCCCAAGAGACCATTTCCTGCACCCCAACTCCAAGGCTATGGGGGAGGCTTCCCTATTAAGATTGCATTCAGCCATCTGAACAAAGGGAACTTCGCAACAGGAGAGGCTGAACCTGTGCGGCAGGCCAGAAGAAACCGGCAAGGTGAGGGCAAAAAAAACTCCAACATATCCTTAGTATAACCGGCTTGAGCAGTGAGGACAAAAAAAAGAATGGTGGCCTTGGGAGGCGGGCTTTAATTTATAGTATAACTGGTCCTGTGATTGGGCTGGGGGCAGAGCCATACCCATTGTATGCTGCCATGGATTGGTGTCAGGAAATATATATACA